CCAAATCTTTGAGCTGACGTTGCCATTAAATGCGACTGAGAATACTCCAACCGGCGCGTAGCTCCACCTGCCGTCGGCCGTTGCCCATACAATCTCTACCCTTTATTAGCAATGTTAGTCTATTGAGAAATCTATCAGATACATTTGTAGTACACAGTACTTTCCTGGTCAGATCTTAACTTAATATACCCACTTGTCCATCTCTGTTATCACCTATCACATTCAATCCTGATTTCACTCCATAGATGAGAAATATAGGACTTTTAGACGGGACCAGAAATTGGATTTTTGACCTTTCCTGTTTATTCTTACAAGAAATGTTGAAATCTTTTGATCACATCAAAGCTGAATGTCATATTCCCACATCTGGGTTTTACAAATGTCTTCAAATACGGCATTATATTTTGTCTCCTATGAAAGAAAATAGATTGAGATTCGTTCTCTCTGAGGTTGAAAAAATCTTGGCTGAGGCGGAATAAAAAACGCCTGGTACACCTAGGCGAATGTTATCAAAGTTATATAATATATATTAGTTAATAATTGTATGTCTTCATATACAACCTTGAAAACTATCTGGGAGCGAGACAGGAGGCACTCATTTCCTGAGGAGGACTGGCTATCAATTTGTGAAAAGCTTTATCCAAAGTGCTCTTCCCTTACCATAGAGGAGCTTAATTTTAAATGTCTTAACAAATTTTATCGAACCCCAGTCCGTTTGCAAAAGATATACTCGGGTAGATCGAATCAGTGTTTTAAGCTTCACTCTTAGATGGGTACCTTTATTCATCTATTCTGGCAATGTGATAAAATTAAACAAAACTGGAATAATGTACATTCTGTCATTAAAAAAATCTTGGGTAAAGATTTTACAATGTCTGCATAATTGTATCTTCTACACGGTGATTATACAGTCAAATGTGACATTCAGATTCAGAATGTCTATTTTTTGTGCTTGTTCTGCAATGGTCTGTCAACGTACCAACTGTTGAAATGTGGCTCTCTTGTCTCTACATTTCTGCCTCTGGAAAAACTGACATACAGTGTATGGTCTCCACTCGAGTTCTGTGCACGTTTGGAAGATTTG